ATATTTTGACGTCTCTGACTTACCAAATTTTTAAACCAATTTTGTTTTCACTTTCATCATTTTATCTTCAACTGCTTGTCATTTTAACTGTCTTGAGTTGTCATAGAAATGGGTTTTACCAGCTTGTAGCTAAGATTATGATGTTTCTGTAGATACCCAACATGTCTATGTTTAATTAAAAGAACCTAGAGTAATTAAAGTAGAAAACCGGGGGTTTGACCTTAAGAGATGAATGAACCAATTGGCGGGCCGAACTTTGGTCACTTGTGGACCGGATGTGGCCCGCGGGCCGTCAGTTGAATAGCCCTACTGTATTTGGTTGAAATCATTCTGCCAAATACTGATTTCTGAGCTCTCCCTGAGTTCAAACATTAGTATTGTTGTTTCTAAATGAAWATGAACTTGTTTTCTGAGCATTATTTGAGGTCTGAAAGGGCTGAATCTGTSTTGTCATTTTGACCATTTCTCATTTTCTGCAAATAAATATAAAATTTTTGTTTGGAATTTCGGAGACATGATGTTGTCAGTGGTTCTTAGAGTAAAATAACAGTTTTCATTTTACTCAAACATTAAGAGTAAAATCATAGAAACGGATCATTTTAGTGGTCTTTTATTTTTTCCTGAGCTGAATATGGGCTTTACATGGTGCTGAAGTGAAAGGAGGGGAAGGTGTGTGTGAGTGTGTGTGTGTGCTTCCTTATAGGAATGTTGATCTGATAATAGGATTATTACTGAGAGTTTTCTCTCCTGTCTATCTCCAGGCTCCTTCAGGACTGAGGGCATAAAGGCCTCTGATGTTCTGCCCATGCTAAAGGAGAAAGTCGCCTTTGTGTCCGGTGAGTTCCAGCCAAATCTCCCATACAGGATCGAAATAAAATGTTGTTTTGTTTGGTATTCATGCAGTGTCATCCAGATGTCCAGTGTTACAAATATTTCAAGATTCAACTCAGGCAGTTTAGTGTCTGGGCTTCAAAGCATGGAGAGGAGTTTTAATATGTATAATATTAAACTGCTAAGTGACAAATTGAGAAAAAGTACGGAAGTGTAGAGCTGCCACATGACACAAAATTATTTTTAAACTGGATCTCGTTATAACGAGAAAACTATCTTGTAAAAATGAGAAAACTATCTTGTTATATCAAGATAACCATCTTGTTATAACATGTTATGGTTTCTTCTGGTTTGTCACTTTCATGGAAGTTTATTGCCTGGATGGAGTGATGGAGAACACGACTGAATCACTAAATGCCTTTTTATGAAGAAGAAATCTGAGAGAGGAACACATTTCTAGACTAAAAAATGACAAGTTAGTACTGAATAATAGCGGTGTCCCGATACCGATACCAGTATCGGTATCGGGTCCGATACCAGCATCAAGTACTCGTACTCGTACTCGTAAAAGCCGGCCGATACTCTTAACCGATACCGCTTTTGTCTCCTCCTGTGCTGCGCTGCACAAAGGGTAAACAACAATCCATACCAGGCGGTGGCGCTAACGCACTGACAAGTTATTTCTGACCGCACCCCCGAACAACAGAAGAAAAACGATGAGAAGAAGAAGAAGAAAACGTCGGCAGTTTGGAGATATTT